TAATGGAAATCAAATTAATCCGTGCAAGACACCCGAAAGTATTGAAAAAAAAAAATTTTCACCACATGAAATATTAATTTTAATACACACAAACTGAAGAAGACATGCACAGTTACATGACACTTACCTTTATTGAAGATCTGGTGATGATTGATGGGATGGGAGGAGGGGAGACTGTTGATCTTGTTAGTGTTTAGAAGGGGAATCCCCTTCCATTAGCACTTGAGGCAGCAAGTCTTTTTCTGGGGTTACTTCCCTTGTTCTTTTAACCCTTTGACTGTCGAAGGGCCAAATCCTGAAGTTGCTTCTGGTGTCGCAAAATATTCGAAAAAAAAAAAAATTATTTTTTCTTATGAAATGATAGAGAATCTTTTCCCGATTGTAAAGACACCAAAAAAAACGAAATTTGATGGAAAACTGACGGAATTACGCTCTCGCGAAGTTAGCGACTTCGGCGATATTTAAAAATCGGCAATTTCGCCCACTTTGAGCCCTATTTTTGGCTAATTCCGTTATTCCAGTCAACCAAACTCATAACTATTTCTTCAGAACTCTATTTTTTCTATCGATTGAGTACAAGAAACTGCCCATTTACCGAATTCAACTACCCAATAACATGGTCAGAAATTTGCAATTTGGCCAATTTCACGAAAATTAAAAAATACGACAATTTCAAAATAAGGTCCAGAATGAACAATGCAGACATTCCTGGCTCTAAAATAACATTTTCTTTGTTCATCAGTCATGTCTCCAGGTCCCTGTGATATTACTCTTGCTTTTTATTTTGAAATTTTATTCAAACAAAAAATAGAAGATTTACTGTTATGCAGACTACTGCAATACTGTAATAATTGTAAAAATTACATCAACCCATTCATGACTGCGTATTAGAATGGCTATTTGGTCATTTATTGGACAATGACATCATTTGTTCACTTTTGAACATCGGCAAAAATCAAACATTTCCTGTACTTTGTGCTCCATTTCCAGGTTCTTTTTATAGTAAAATTAATCAAAATCACCTCCATTTCTATAATATAGTTTCCATTCTATCAAATGAGACCAAGAAAACGAGAATACAACCACAAATACTATACGAAAATAGACCACAAAGTCGGCATTTTAATTAAAAAAAACGGTCGGAGTTTTTTTTTTCTCATTATGCACTGCGTGCTCCAGGATTTTTTTTATGTGGTGCACACTGACCACACAGACCCATTCTCTCACATGTGGGCCTACTAGCTTTCTCCTGCCTGATTTGAAGCCGCTAGAATTTATGAGTATATATACGTCAAACACGGTACCTCGCAAACGTATATATACAGCCGCGACAGTCAAAGGGTTAATGCCACTAGGACCAGCTTCAGAGTCACTGGACTTCTGTCGCACAACATATCTGTCCATAGAGGCCTGTACCTCTCGTTCCTTTATCCTAAAGTGTTTCACAACATTGCCAGTGTAATAGTCACCAGCACAGCTTGCAATAGCTGTGTGAGGGTAATTTTCATCAAAAAAGGTTTGCACTTTAAGCCACATTGCACACATTTCCTTAATCTTTGAAGTAGGCAACTTCTTCAATTTCTCTCTCCCCTCCTCCGAAGCAGTTTCCTCAGGTGTGGCCTCTTACTGTTGAAGATGATCTAGCAGCTCATCAGTGGTTAGTTCTTCATTGTCCTACTCCACCAACTCTTCCACATCCTCCCCACTAACCTCACCAATATGAGCACTAGTTCCAGGCATTTTTTCCTGTTCACCTGGGTGTTAGTCAACTGTTGTGGGTCGCATCCTGGGGGACAAGATTAAGGACCCCCAATGGAAATAAGTTAGACAGTCCTCGATGATGCACTGACTTTCTTGGGTTATCCTGGGTGGCTAACCCTCCGAGGTTAATCGTTTCTCGTTATTTGTTTCACGTTAAGCCACACCAACAACACTCTCTCCACATCTTCGAGTAATACAGCTGATTGTGGTGCAGCAACAACAACAGCTGACTGTGGTGCAGCAGCAGCTGCGCCTTTGGCAAGAACAGCTTCCTTGATTGCCGTTTTGTTACCCACAATAGTAGCGATGGTTGATTGGGGTTTATTATACAACCTGACCAGCTCAGAGACATGCACTCCACTTTTATACTTAGCAATGATCTCTTTCTTCATCTCCATAGTAATTCTCACCCTTTTTGCTGTAGGGTTGGCACTAGAAGCTTTCTTGGGGCCCATACCTGGTTACCTGGAGGTTATTCCAGGGATCAACGCCCCCGTGGCCCGGTCCATGACCAGGCCTCCCGATGGATCAGGGCCTGATCAACTAGGCTGTTACTGCTGGCCGCACGCAGTCCAACGTACGAGCCACAGCCCGGCTGATCCGGCACTGACTTTATGTATCTGTCCAGCTCTCTCTTGAAGGCAGCCAGGGGTTTATTGGCAATTCCCCTAATGCTTGATGGGAGGCTGTTGAACAGTTTTGGGCCCTGGACACTTATGGTGTTTTCCCTTAGTGTACCAATGGCGCCCCTACTTTTTATTGGGGGCATTTTGCATCGCCTGCCCAGTCTTTTACTTTCGTAGGGAGTGATTTCTGTGTGCAGATTTGGGACCATTCCTTCCAAGATTTTCCAAGTGTAGATTATGATATATCTCTCCCTCCTGCGTTCCAATGGTGACTTATTTTGCAGGTGCAATCACTACAAAGGCTGTGATAATATGAAATGTTCCAGTTGTATGTTTGGAAGCGACCGCGGTGGCTGGCTGGCTTGTAAACACTGACACCCAAGGGACAAGTGAGGCGCGCTCAGGCCAAAGTGGACGCGTATGGTACGGAACGAATAGCCCTGGTCGGGTTTTTAAGCGCTAGTTGAGGCAAAATTTTTGCATTTAAATGTATCGCTAGTCAGATTTATCATTAATCGATGCCATCGCTGGTTAAGGGTCCACTGTATATCATGTTTCTGTGTTAATTATGTTGTTTATGTCATATTAGATGAATTGTGAACAACAAATAAGCCATACAGTTGATATTAGCGTCATATTAAAGTATTTTGTCTTGCCTCCAGAGTGCAGGAACAGATTAATGGCTTTTCAGTTAATTTAAATGAGGAAAATTGATTTGATATACGAGTAAATTGAGTTAGGAGCTAGATCACAGAACGGATTAAACTCGTAAGTCAAGGTTCCACTGTATTTCTTATTTATAAATTAAAGTGTAAATATTTCTTATTTATAAATTACGTACATTGTTTGTGTGAATAGCGTTAGTGGCTTCTGCTCCCGCCATCCTACCACTAATATGTACAGCTTCTCTCAGTGGCCCTTATAAACCCAACAGCATCACCACCACTTACTCCTCACATATGTAATGACATATTTTATTCATTCTAGAGTATATATCTTTTTCTATGTTATTAATATTGTTTATTATGTCATTTTAGATGAATTGTGACATATAAATAAGCCGTGGAATATAGTTCTTCTCTATAAAATGTGTTTTTTGTTGAAACTTTTGGATGTCTGAAATGGATTAATTGGATTTACATCATTTCTTAGGGGGGAAAATGGTTTCAGTTTTAGTTGATTTCACGTTTCGTTGGACTGTCTGGAACAAATTAAAGACTGAAAGGGAGGGTCTACTGTACAGTAGAGCCCCCATATCTGCTGATTTAGTAAATGCGGTTTCAGTTATCAACAGTTTACTGTGGCTCAAAAATACCTCTTAATTTTGCATAATAACGGCCCCAAAGTGCAATACAGATCCCCCCCCAACTTACGAACAAGTTACGTTCCAGAAGGCTGTTCGTATGTTGAATTGTTTGTAAGTTGTTATTTTGCCATTTTTCTGTTATGGTTATTATTGTTTTTAATAATAATATTATTATTGTTCTTTCTCTGTGCCATTGTTTGTTGAAAACGTAGACAATACTGTATAGCATCAGTAATGTACAGTTCGTAGCCCTTTCAGGGTCAGCGTCGTACTTGTACGTGTAAATTCTAGCGCCTTCAAACCTAGCGAGAGAAAGCTGGTAGGCCTACATATGAAAGAATGGATCTGCATGGTCATTGTGCACAGTATAAAAAAAATCCCGCAGCACACAGTGCATAATGAGAAAAAAAAAGCTCCGACTGTGTTTTTGGTTTAAAACAGCGACTTTGCAGTTTATTTTCGTATAGTATTTATGGTTGTATTCTCGTTTTCTTGGTCTGATTTGATAGAATGGAAGATATATTACAGAAATGGAGTTTATTTTGGTTGGTTTCACTATGAAAAGTACCTTGAACTTGAGCTCAAAGTAGCGGAAATGTTCGATTTTTGCTGATGTTCAAGAGTAAACAAAGCATGCCACACATCCAATACACATCAACTGGTATGGAGGGATGGAACAAAATAGAATGACTTGGAGGGCATATAAATCTGTAATGGAAGGAAGGCAAGGTAGGGGTTGTCCCAGGAAAGGTTGAAGGGAGGGGGGTAAAGTAGGTTTTGTGTACAAGGGGCTTCGACTTCCAACAAGTGTGTGTGAGTATGTTAGATAAGAGCAAATGACGACAAAATGGGTATGACTTAACGTGCTGGAGTGTGAGCAAAGTAACATTTATGAAGGGATTCAGGGAAACTGGTTAGACGAATTTGGGTCCTGGAGGTGGAAAGTACAGTGCCTGCACTCTGAAGGATGGGTGTTGATATGTTGCAGTTTAACTGTACTGTAGGCATGCCTCTGGCAAGACAGTGATGGAGTGAATAATGATGAAAGTGTTAATTCTTTTTCACGTCACCCTGCCTTGGTGGGAAAGGCCGATGTGTTAATAAAAAAATATGTCATGGGCTCTTCGTCGCATTTATTATAGTCATGGTCTGTCCAGAAGCATTCACACAACACTTTCTCCCTTCCATGTCATACTTTTTATAGAAATATTCCTCTTAATCACTGTATGTATAATTTGTCCAGTAGCATATTTTTCTCATGAGTATGCTTTACTAAAACCTCCTCTTTTCCTTTGTTCCTTCACCAGGTCCTCTCCAACGGCACGCTGATGTTCCCTCCCTTCCGCGCAGAAGACTACAGACAGGAGGTTCATGCCCAAGTGTACCGCTGTCAGGCCACAAACCCCCATGGCACTGTTCACTCCCGAGATGTTCATGTTAGAGCAG